GCTGTCCGGGCCCGGGGGCGGGGCTTGGGGAGGGGGCGGAGCCAGGCCCGCGGCCGGTGTCAGGTTGCTCCGGTAACGGTGACGTTTCGCGGCGTGGGCGGGGCCAGCACGCAGGTTGCATATTTTAGGAAGTGAGGAGGAGGCGCAGGCTGGAGCTGCGGCGGGGTCTGGGGCGCACGGCAGCGGCGGGAGGAGGCGGACACGTGGCAGCAGCAGCGGTAGCAGCCCCGGCGGCGGCAGCAGCGGCGGCGGCATCGGCCCGAGCCGCCGGCCGCGCTCCCTCCCTCCCGCCCCGCGGCAGCCCTAGCTCCCTCCACTCGGCTCCCCCTGCCCCGCTAGCTCGGCCGGGAGCTGCTCTTTGCTTTTCTCTCTGATTCTCCAGCGACAGGACCCGGCGCCGGGCACCAAGCACCGCCACCATGGGGAAGGGGGTGAGTGTCCGGCGCCCCCGGGGAGGAGGATTGGGGAGCCCTGGAGGGCAAGAGGAGGAAGTCAGGAGGGCGGCTGGGGCCCGCGGGAGGCGGCGGGGAGGAAGCGGCGCGGCGCGGAGTGGGCTGGCAGAGCCGCGCGGCTTAAAAGACGACGCACTTTGGAAATGGAGGGAGCGCAGTAACGGGGGGCGGGGGAAGGGAGAACCGAGAAGCTGGAGCGCTGCATTGCTGGGCGATGCGCCGACCCCGCGTGGGGGCTGCGCGCCGCCGAGGCGGAGCGGGCCGGGGGCTCCGGGGGGCGGTCCTTGGGAAGCCCCGGGGCCGGGAGGAGCGGGGGAGAGCGGCAGCAGGGCGGCCCCGGGACCGAGCCGGCATCCCGGAGCCCGGCTCCCCTCCCCGCGCCCGCCCTCACCTCCTCTCTCCTTCCTTTTCCCTCCGCCCTCCGTGCCCGGAGGAAAGGCGCGCTCCTCCCCTTCCCCTGGGGCGCTCCGCCGGGGCCCCTCCCGGGCCTCCGTTCCCGCCGCGGCCTCGGCGCCGGCAGGGGCAGCCTGCGGGTTCGGGGCTCCTTCTGCCGGAGGCGCTGGGGCTTAGCTGACTTCCCGCAGAGGTGGCCGCCCTCCCCCAAAGAAAAAACTGGCTTCCCCTGAGTGCGGAGCCGGCTGGGCGAGCTGGTGCCAGAAAGGGTGTGTCTTCACCGCCCTAAGATGGCCTTTAATGTATACTTTTGAGAGCTCTTTTGGGCCACTTTCCGTAAACACTGGATGCGCCGGTGCCAACTGGAGTTATCCGACGGTGGGGAGAGGCGTGCAAATTTTTTTTTTTTTTGAAGGGATGAACCTTGAAGGAGAATAGGCTCACCCACCAGGGCCTTAGGGTACAGTAAACCCTAAAACGGACTGGAGGCTGTGGGCAGTACGGTGGTAGGAATACTCTGCCGGTTTCCAGCGTCGCGGACGCACCAAAAGGCAGTCAGTCCCTTAAGGAAACGAGGGGTCTTGGGACAGGAGAGTGGCGCGGAGCGCGGTGGAAATATCATCACAACACCGCTTTCCTACATTTCTGTAGCGAAGCCTTGATTCCCGGTAGCTAGCTGCTGCAGGAGACTGGGTCCCGGACTCCAAAGGCCAGTTGAGAAAAATTTACAGAAAATAACCTCGGAATTCATGGGATGAAAGTGACCAGGTCATTAGAATAGAGATGGGAGAAATGCCAGATAGAGTATGCACCTAAAGTAAAATAAATAAATTATTTTTTTAAAAAAAGAATAGAGATGGGAGAGAATCCACTTCGTTGTCTCCAGGCTGTAGCACAGTGCAGACACTGAGTAGGTCTTTGAAGGCCCTGAGGCTTCTGGGTGTAGACCGAGTGTCTGGAGCAGAGGGAGGCTGCACTCTTTGGGGACTCTCTAAATGGGTTTTGAAGGAGGTAATTGAAAGGCTGGTGAGACGAACAGGCGCAGGTGAAATGCACAGCTCGCCTCGCTTTTAAAAGCATATGGAGAGCCGGTCCAGGTCTAGTGGCATCAAAGAGCGGAGTGCCGGGCCTCTCCATTCCCCTAACGGAAACTGGGTTAGTGGCTGTGCCTTTACCACACCATCAAAGCCTTCATCATTCCCTGTAAACAAGCACTTGAAAGCTCATTCGTGGTCTCTCCTCCCTTTTAAAAAAAAAAAAAAAAAAAAAAAAAATTCCTGAGCTAATTTTGGGGGGTGTGGAGGTCATAGATGTAGGCCCCCGGCCTAGGAAGGTGAAGTGACTTGCTCAAGGTCAAACGGTTGGCTTGTGACAGACAGGCGTCCCTGATTCTTGAATAGCCTGTGGCCTCAAGCCTGAACATACATTTACTCTTTTAACGTCACCTATACAGAACTCAAAACTTACTCTTCAGATGAAACTAGGGTATTTGTGACGTTGAATTAATAGGCCGTGGAAATGGTTTGGGTAACTAAGTCACGTCTGTATATCTAGATGCCTGCCTTATAACCACACACAGGCACACATGCAGTAGTAACCCGCCCGAATAGTTAGTAGGGCTTCAACCCCGACGGCTTGGAACAAATGTAGGGTGGCTAGCAAACAAGATTAAATTACAGCAGGCGAACACTGGGATGATGAGCTGCTTCGCTGCTGGGTGGGAGTTAGCCTCCTGGGTATTCTGACACATTGAGCATACCTTGAACATGAGGCTACTTTTATGTGTGTTTGTCCTCAGTGACTTACTGTGATCGTCCACATGCTCAGGAGAATATTTCATGTTGGGATTTCTCCACATGGGGATTAAAATGTGGGTGGAGTGGTGACTAAAGCCCAGCTGATAGTTGGTTAAACGGGAAGCCTGTGCCGGGAGCTAATTTTTAAGGTCATTGTAAATTTCTTCCCCTCCTCTCCTCAGCACCGTTTGTGTCCTAGCTTTTGATGATATTTCAGGTGATTTTGTATGTCCTTAAAAGTCTAATTCCTAAGCATTTGTTAAGAAAATGAAAGAACAGCTCTTGCTGAATCATTCCTGGATGAAGTAGGATTTCGTCCCTTTTTTTCTTACTGGGTGTTTTTGCCAGTGACTCGGCTTAAACCTCCAGCTAGGCCTACCACCGGCAACCGTTTTGCTCACCAAAGGTACACACCATAACTGTTTAGAAATGTGAGAACGTTTGTTTTCTCAAGTGTGTAAAAGATGAGGAGGAGGGGGTCTTACCGGGTCTTTCACTGCAGTCTGGATTTAGTTTGATTATTATCACCAAAAAAAAAAAAATAAATCCTAGCTTATGGGTGGTGATTTAAAGAGGAGCAGGGAAAAAAGGTTCCAGGGAAGGTAGCAGGGGGGATGCACATGTCAGCAGAAATCTTGGTTGTATGGTAACGTTATCAGCTGCCCTTTTGGAGCTCAGCTTGCAAGTGTGACTGAAGCTCCTTTGTCTGCTCTAAAGCTAGTACTTTAGACTTAAAGCATTGTAAGGCAGAGGCCTCAGAGTGGAAAGTTGCCCGGGCCTGGCCCGGAGCTAGTGGAGCAGTTACAGGAAGAACTAGTGCCTGGAGCTGGGGGCGTGGAGAAGAGCACTGTGCCTCGCCCTTTGCCTGTCGGTTGTTGAGTGTAACAGTTCCCTGCTTCTTGGGTTCTTTCTGTACCCTTTTATGAGGGTGTATCCCCTTTTAGTAACTTACTGTTTGTTCATTTGTAGTGTTCTCTGCCAGTGAGTTTGTAACACTGTAGTGACTCACCTTCAGGTGGGAGGGTAGGAAAAGAGGGGAGGCCTGCCTCTTAAACCTGGGAAGATGGGGAGAGAGTGGTAAACCTGATAGCCCAAAAAAAAAAGAAACAAAACAAAAAAATGCCTTTTAAAATCCAATTTGATGTTTGACCAGATGAGGGCTAACACTTAAAATATACAGATTCCTGGGAATGTTATTCCTAAATTGCATTTAAAAATAAAAGTAAATTCAACATTTTATAGCACAGTAGACTTGGCACGCATCCATGCTCCAATCCAGTACCCTCAGTGATTGTTTTCCGATTATTTTAGCAGCTAATGAACAGATAAGTGACTTTCCATTCAAATCAGGCTATGTTCTTTTAAATATATCTAAACTTAAGAAGGGCTTTAACTAAGGATTTGGTATGGTAAAGTAAAATTGGTTTCTTCACTTAAAAATGAACAGGTTTAAAAAAATAAAAGCCCTGAAGCTTCAGTTTCTCATCGGGCTCTTGGATAGAATGTTCATCCTGGGAATCAAGTGAAGTAATCTATGTTCTGTTTATGGAGGGACTGCAATGCCAGCCCGAGTTGTGGCTGTTGTTACGGGGCTGACATAGGTACGGTAATTAGAGCCGAGACAAGATCACATCTTTCCAGACTGGGTTTGCCGTTTGTCAGCAAGCCATTAGCCCTTTCAGAATTAGAGAGCCGTTTTTTCCTTTCACCATGAGAACATATTACGGTTTGAAAATAATGGAAAATACTGTTAATTGCCCTTCATAGGAAAGTCAAGTAGAGGTGTCAGTTGACAAGACTGCGGCTGTTATCTGTGCTCAACAGGCAAATCTGTCTCATAGCATCTTACTGTCTGCTGTCACTTTTCAGGTGAAGGACTTTGTTCATGGTTGATAATCATTTTGAAGTCTTGCAAAATAAAATGGGCTTTTCAGCCTTCTGTGATGAGAGGGAGCCTGAACATTTGTGCTGTGCTGACTTCTAGCTGCCCAGGGCTCTCTGCCAGCCAACAGGCTAGAAGAAGAAACCCGAGTGTCAGATCAGATGGGCTCACAGTAATCAGAGTGGCTGGGTTTGGACAGCAAAACACCAGGCAAAATGTTTCCCATCCCTGCCAGAGCTGTCCAATTCTAGATTACACTGAAAGTACATGTCCAGTACACGACAATGTGCAGTAGAGGGAACTGTAAAACCTACTCACTCGTTTTTAAATCTCTCCTTCATTTATATATTTTGAGGAGAGGATATGGAAGCTAGTCAGGTCTGAGCTTTCCCACGTTGCCATGAATTGGGGGTACGAGAGGAAGTGTGTGTTCTTTGGCTGCAGTCTTAGAGAGACTGTTCTTTGCATGTGACTCACCTCATTAGTTGTGCTGAAATCTGTTGTTGGGCCACAGAAGTTCTTCACGTTTATTTGGTGTTTGGGGTAGCGGATTCTGTCAGGAAAGAGGTACCCTTCACTGTATACTTTCTCTTTGCTTTGGTTCTTATTTGGGTACTGAGCAAAGGAATTTCTGACTAATAGACCTCATTCCTTAGTTCTTTTGTGACTTCACAGTGTCTCTCTGTCTGGTTTTAGACCTCACTCACTCGTTCCTTGGGGATTTATGATGAACTACATCTGCACGTGATCTCTTTCTGGTTTCATTCAAACCGTATTTAGTAACGACTGTCGGCTGTTTCGGTGATTTGAGAAGTTGATTCATGGTAGCTCATGCTTTGTCCTTGGGACTTGTATTGTTTGGGGGCCTGAGAATCAGTGTAAGATTTTGTGGCTCAGTGGGCCTTGCTGTGTGGGTCAGTGGGCCATGATTTCTCTTTCTAGTCTGTTCCCATGTGGGGGCAGGACCCTAATGTGCTTTGGGGGTCATCCTCTTATGTCTTTTATCCTCCACATAATGCTTCCATGGTACCATATTGGTTTTATTTCAACTTATGTGGCATTTCTTTAGGGCCCTGGACAGCCTTTATCCTCTTCAGCCTGGCAGTCATTTTCCTTCCCAGCCTCAGCTTCAGGGTACTAATTGAGGAGTGATCAGCACTTACTGGGAACTGATTCTGTCCTCTCATAACACATATGCTGATAATTAATCAGTTGTCTCTCAAACCGGAGCAGTCTGGCAAAATGAAAAAAAAGAAGGGGGTAAGGTGGTCAGCAAATAGGGGAGTTAAGGAATAAGCAGAAAGTTTTAACTCTTCATAACCCATGTGAGTAAAGTAGAGGTAGAATAGCCCATTGAAGAAACTGAAGTTTTTGTCTGATTGTTCTTAATAATTGTAAAAAACAAAAGCGTATCTAAAGGGCATTGATTCTTTACGCCTTTTCGGATTTTTATTTTTTGAATGATCATGGATGTATACTAACTACTGTAGGTAGGGTAGGTTGGCAGGCTTGTTAAGGATTGGCATCCAGGCAGGCTGGGGAGGAAGGTTAGGTCATGTTCTTCTGGGTTGAGGGAACCTGCTGGCTAGAGCTGTCGCTGTTCTTTGACCCTTGCTGGCTGATGGGCTGCAGCCCAAGTTTGGAGATACTGAACTGGGCTCACAAAGGGACCTACTGCTTTGGCCTCGGTAAATCGCGTACTCCGGCGTGCATATTTGGGTGGGCGAGAGAAGGAAGATGAAGGCATGGTGGCCCCGCAGGGTCAACTCCTCTGCAGAGAACCGCTGCTCCCGCAGTGATGTGCTGCTGCTGGAGCTGGAGAGCAGCCATGGTGCTATGACAGTGTCCTCCCTCGTCCCTGGCCATCCCTGCCTACACAATTCCTTGCACATAAACTAAGCTACTTAGTCGTTTAGGAGCAAATGGAGATGTAATAAACGGGGCCTGATCATTTCTTCACTGTTACTTTCTTTTTCTTTTTCCATGCTAAACTGGAAAAGACTGTTACTTTCTTTAAGTTTTCACTGATAAGATCAAATGAAAAATAAAGCAAAGGAATTTTTTCTTTCAAGGTTTAAAAGAATTTTCGTGGAAAGCGAAAAATGGCAGTAACGTATATGTTAATGAGGACTGAGTTCAGTAACAGCCTTGGTGTGCTGCTTTGAGAACACGTTTACTTCCACACTGTGTTGGATGGTTTTACTTCGTTCATCCAGGAAAACGAGAAAGCACCCCTCCCCCTTACCTTTTGCATTAAGGGTAGCCCAGACTGGGCAGCCTCTAGGAAACCAGCGGGGTCAGAGTGCATCCCCCAACTTTCCTGCTAAGGTGGAATTTGCCAGATTGTGTCCTGAGGTGCCGTTTCTACAATCTTCTTGGTGACTCTGAAACGGGCTGCATTCGGGGCACTTCTTTTTGCTGTCCTTGGGGCCCTTCTTGCGAGTCAAAAGCTTTTGTTTGTGGACTTTGGAAATAGGCCAGTTTTTAGGTGTTTTATTTTTCAGAGTTGATGATTTCTTTACTAATCAGACTATGAAAATGCCATCTGTAGGTTCTTTAATTGGTATACCAAGTGGTATTCCCATTTTAGGGATTAGGAAACTGAGGCTAACAGGCAAAGACTGGTGTTTGGGATGGGTGTGAAGGCCTTCAGTGGTAGCTATAGCTTATGCAGACCTCAAGTGATATACCACTGGGATGGAAGCTCCTGCCTATTTGGGGATAATTTCTACATCTGTCCTATCTCTCCCCAACTCTGTCCCCATTAAATGACTGGCTAATTTCTAAAAAAGAGGAAGGAACATCTTCAGCTCTAGCAGGTCTTGGGGACGTCTCACTCATTGTGAGGACTGTGAGGATTCGATATATATTTTTAAATGAGTGAACCTTGTTACATGTTTTAACCTTGGTTCCTCCTGTCAAGAATTTTCTCATCTCTTGGGCACCTGTTCCCTCTACCCAGATCAAATAGCAGAATCCTTAGTTAATCTTCGACAGGATAGAATCCATGGGAAGCGCAGGATGAAACGGTGACGCTGTCCTAAGCTGTGTCACAGTAGGTAAGCCCCTGTCCTTGCTGCGACTTTCCACTTCCTAAATCAGAATGGAAGGGGGAAAAAAAACCAACCCAACTTCATTTTTAGAAGTGGCCCTTTTGAGAATGTGTAACCTGTTGGGCTTTCCTCAGAGATGCTCACAGGGGTGGGGGTGCCCTTATGCGGAACATAATGAGAGTGAGGATTAATCACTCCCAGTCCTCTGGGGGTGGGGAAGTGACCTTAACTTTCTAATTGAAAAAGTAGGAAGTACGTGCCCAATGCCCAGATGAGCAGGAGGGTCACTGTAGTTGATGAGGAAACACGGTAGGTATCATTCACCCTTCCTGTGACTTTTGTTTTTCCCAAATGCCCTAAGGCACTGTTTACAATAGCAAAGACTTGGAACTCAAATGCCCATCGATGATAGACTGGACAGGGAAAATGTGGCACATATACACCATGGAATATTATGCAGCCATCAAAAACGATGAGTTCATGTCCTTTGTAGGGACATGGATCAACCTGGAAACCATCATTCTCAGCAAACTTGACACAAGAACAGAAAATCAAACACTGCATATTCTCACTCATAGGCGGGTGTTGAACAATGAGAACACATGGACACGGGGAGGGGAGCATCATACACTGAGGTCTGTCGGTGGGGGGGGGATCTAGGGGAGGGACAGTGGGGGGTGGGGAGTTGGGGAGGGATAACATGGGGGGAAATGCCAGATATAGGTGATGGGGGGAGGAAGGCAGCAAACCACATTGCCATGTGTGTACCTATGCATGTTCTTCACATGTACCCCAAAACCTAAAACACAATAAAATATGTAAAAAAAAAAAAAAAAAAGGTTTAAAAAAGATAATAAAGCAACATTGTCTTACCTGATTCTACCAGTGTTCATCGCACCCAGCGTGCACTCCCTGACTCTGAATTTTGCAGCTTTGAGACTGATAGGTTCCCACCAGGATAAGCTAATATTAAGGTATTATTTTACTTGTGGAGATGAACTGAATTGTATAAGCTGCCTGGTTCCTCTGTACAGACATTGCCTAGTGAAAAAATTAAAGTTTTGAAGAAAAAGCAATTTCACTTGTTAATACTGACCATGTCTCATTCACAAATGGCCTCATTTGAAAACTTTGCCTTACTTGGCATGAATGGCTAAAGAAAAGGGAGAGTTATTAGGGTGTCTAGATTCCCAACTGACTGAGCATTGATAGTGATGAAGCTGTTAGCAAGACATTTATCCTGTAAGTAGGGGTGAAGCTTTGGAACGTGTTCGAAGCCTAGCTGCTCTAGTGGTCCTCTCTCCTCTTCTGGAGTGGAAGATATTGGAAGTCTGAGAATAATCAAAGCATGCAGATGATGAAACTGAGGGGTTATAACTCTGATTTTCATTTATTAAAATATATTTCAATGATATTCAACTTGCTTAGAGAGAATTTGTGAGCTGTATTTTCAAAATCAATATGAAGTGGTCACATAAATCTTGTAAAGATCCTTAGTCAATGTTTTAAAATGGTTTTTAAGTGTCGTGCTTTCTCGTTAAAGGTATGAAGGAAATACTTTAGCTGTGGTTCCTTTCTGATAGATGAGCTGCCTTTCCTTTTTGTTTTATTTGTCCATTTGTACGTGTTATTATTTTTTCGTTTAGACTCTGGCACCAAGAGCTGTACTGAAAGAGGCGCCTACAAATGTAGTTGTTCCATAATGGAGAGAATGTCAAGAATGTTGACTATCTTTAGACCGGCTTCATTAATAGATAAGATGGAAACTAATAACTTTACCCGGTTGGAAGAAGTTACTAGTCAACTAGTCCTGCACACGTGACCACAGAAGTTACAGATGTAAATGATGTGTCACTACATGTGGGCACACCAGTGAACTTGGAGGATTTCTCCTCGGAGTCTTAAGGGGATATGTTTAAATTTATGTGAACACTGTATTTTATTTGCAACTGTGTTAGTTATGACTGAAACGCACATACACTTTCTGATTTTCTTTTCATTTCAGCACAATAAAATGATAATACGGACACATGAGCTCCTAATTATTGCTTTGGTAGCTGGTAATGCACTTAGGATAGTTAGAAATGAGTAAGGGAGAGCCACAAATAACAGGAATAGCGCCACATGTCATGCATTCTAAGAAAATTGTTAATGTCTACTTTTTGGCCTTAAGTTGTCCTTGTGGGAGGCTGCCTGGGGGGAGGTGTCTGGAACAAGGGGGCTTTTCTGCTCCACTAAGCTTTGGAGCACCAAGTTCAGGCTTTGTGTAGGAAAGCTCAGGGATTTTCAACAGGAGTGGGGGAGTGGAGCAATCTAAATTTAAACTATAGAATCAACATTTTCTTTAAAAATTGTTCCAGTTTTCAAGAGGCGTAGGTGGATCCTGTGAATTATGTGGTAATGCACATGCTTTTCCTACATCCTGCTTATGTCAAAACATTTCCAGAGACTTTCATTTTGGAGGTTTTATTTTCAGGCTACAGAATGGGGTGGGGGCTCCCTTTTTTATCTGTTATGGAAAGAATTTTAAGGAGTCTTAGGGTGACTTTTTTTTTTTTGAGATGGAGTTTTGCTCTTGTTAACCAGGCTGGAGTGCAATGGCGCGATCTCGGCTCACCGCAGCCTCTGCCTCTTGGGTTCAGGCAATTCTCCTGCCTCAGCCTCCTGAGTAGCTGGGATTACAGGCACACACCACCGTGCCCAGCTAATTTTTTTTTTTGTATTATTAGTAGAGACGGGGTTTCACCATGTTGACCGGGATGGTCTCGAACCTCGTGATCCACCCGCCTCGGTCTCCCAAAGTGCTGGGATTACAGGCTTGAGCCACCGCGCCTGCCCTAGGGTAACTTTTTAATATGAGAAGCTGGAAAAGGTCCGTGCTCTTATGTGAACACTGAAGATATTTAAATTTGATATGTAATAATGTCTTTGCA